TGGCGGAGCGGCGTCTCTAAATAAACGCTAAGTAAATCTCGCAGTCCCGCGTTATGTCCTGCCCGGGCGCTGCCGCCGCGCGGCGCGCAGGTTAGGGGGCGAGCGGATGCCGGGAAAGGCGGGACGGAGCCCGTCCTCGGTGACCTCTGTTGCGCTTTGGAGGCCGCGGAGGTTTAGCCGAAGGGTTTTCGAAGGCACGAGTCAGCGCCAGGTGCCACTTTTAGGAGAGGGGGGAAAAAAAAAAGAAAGAAAAAGCCGCACGCACGTTTGGGGATCTATTTTGGATACTCCTCTGAAGTGCTGGAAGGGTTTCCACGCTGCAGCGGAAATTATTTTAAGACTGGTCTAGGATTTCCAGCGGTGCTGTTGTACATTTAAACAGTAAAGGGGAAGTTTTACCGAGGAACTTAGTCAACTGGTCATGAAAAAAATGGATTTTTTTAACAAACTCATGAAAACGATCAGGAAAGAACCGTATTTAATACACTCGTGGTCCAGGTGCGCCTGAAAATGACACCTGGGCCGCTGCCAAGGGGTGGGAAGGTCTGATGAGCAAGGCAAGGGGGAAGTAGTATCTGATACTAGCTCAGTGACGCGGCTGGGAAAAGGGACGAGCTTTGGGGCGCGCTACACTCAAAAGAGGCAGTGTGCAAGGGCGGCGTCACAGCTCCAGGCCACTGAAAAAGGCCCCATGAGGCATTAAGTGGGAAATACTAACGGGCCGTCAGGTTGTTGGAAGAGAAGCCGAAAACCGGGTAGCCAAAATTCCTTAGCTCATAACTTAGGATTTAATCTAACAGAAATTTCACGCTGGAAGCTACAGACTGCCCTGGCATCTGAGAGCAAGCTCCTCCCTCGGCAGACTCAGTAACGTCGCAAGAACGCACGGGGGTCCCTGCACGGGAGATCTCAGCTTCTGCAGGCACGACCCTCTGGCACGCGTCCTCTTCCACTCTCCTACTTTCTACCGTTTCGCCAGCGTCCGTAGGGCCTCTGCGGCCTCGGAGCTGGAGGTCGAACTTACACATGTTCAGCTGCCGGACGAAACTGGCCATGTTGTTGTGTTTGAAATACTTGGGCAGCACCTCCTTGGCAAACCGTCCTTGGTCGAACACATGGAAGCTGGTGCCATTCTGCAAAGGAGACACAGAGGAAGTCAGAGAGAGAGGAGTGCCCACAACCACACGAGAGCGGTCCGGGAGGAGGTAAAGCCCTAGAGTGCCGCAGCGGAGGAAGGTGTACTCTGAACGGCTACCTTGAAGCGAGAATAGTGACAACGGCCTTCAGCGAAGGACGTGCTCCTTTCAGTTTTGGTACAGCCAGTCCTCTCTGACTGTGTTTTCAATCTTTTTGCGCTAAGCTTTGCCATCGCTGAGTTCAAAGTCTTGCATATCTGAAAGCAACTATGGACTTTTAAACCCAAATAGCTCATAACTCATGACTGCAGCCTCCCTCTTGCTTGGACTTCACAGAAGGACTCTGGTGTGTGAAGAAGGTCCAGGAAAGCAGGAAGCTCCATTAAAGCCCCTTGACCTGCTTGTACAGGACCAACTCCTCAAACCTGTCTCCTCCAGAGCACAGCAGTCCCAGGGGGAGCACAAGAAACACAGCAAGGCAAGAAAGACTGCCCACAGAGAGACTGCGCTGATTCAAAAACTTCAGACACCTTCTCTTGATTATTTTTGAAAGGACAGAGCTGCAAGAGCAACCACAAACTTGGCTGAATGTGGCATATAAATTTTAGCAGTCATGCTTTACGGTCCCAGCTCAGCGACGTGCATTTTAATGTGGTAAGAGAGCTGTTTCTGAGGTTGTGTTGCCAAGAACTGATTGCAAAACGATGCAAGCTGTTCTGGGGTCACCGACACATCAGCACGCTGCAGGCTGGGTGCTTCCACTGCCTGGCCTTCTACCTGCTGACAGCTAAGGGAGCAGGGACAGGGCCCAGGAGACGCAACGCATTGAAGCTGCCTTGGAACATTTTGCAAACAGCAAGCCACGCGTCCCTTTTAAGGGACAGAACAATTTTTAATTAATTTTCACCTGTAACTGGTGCTTAGAAGCAGTTTTCTTCTAAATCCCTGACCTGAACAGCGTCAGTGTCTCCACGATACGGGGGCAGCGGGATTACCTTAAATCTTATCTCTGCTGTGGATGGGGGGGATAGGGAGGACAGCGCTGGGAGTTTGGAGGAACGAAGAATCGTGATTTCAGACATGAAGTTTGGAGCACGTGGCATTTTGCAAACTTGCAGAGCGTGTTATCTTTCAGGGGCTTAGGCCGGCTTTGCTTGCAGAGAGGGAAAGCAGCTGCTAGGAGCTGCCTGGGGAACCACCCAACCGCGCAGCCTGAGCTAAACGCAGCTTTTTGGAGGGGCAGGCAAGATGCAGAGAGCTATGCTGGGGCAAAGATGCCAGCAGATATTTGGGACTTACCCACTCAGCTGCAGCGGTGTTTCAAAGGACCCTTAACTAAAGACACGGGGGTCAGTGCAGCGGTGGCAGGGAGGGGTCGGGCTGACTAACGCAGCCACAGTCCTGCCGTCCTGCTGCGTTCAGCGTTACCAGCAGTCACGTGGTGCGGCTGCCCGATGGGTTTATTTCACAACCGGCCAGTTTTGATAGAGGAGGCCAGTATTTCGTAAGAGCGAGCGCTCCGGCTCCGCATGCAACGGGAGCGTACCGGTGCTGAGCAGATCCCTGCAGCTCCACAGACACATGGCACTGAGTAACGCTCTGGTTCGGCTGTACTTGTCGCTCCTTGCTCCTTACTGCAAGCACTTGACATGACCCTCTGCCTGGATAGTGCCTTCCCTGGTGCTGGGGGAAGACCAGTCCCCCATCACTGGCGTCCTTCCTGTCGCTCCGCACCCCACGCAGCAGAACCGAAGCCTAAACAGTGACCTAAGAGATTTACCGATAACTACTACACTGAATTTTTCCTCACAAACTGTGCCTGCAGCGCTCTCAGACACGCCACAGTCTCCCGATGCGGCAAAGGCTGCCCTAGGGACGGAGCTGCTTTATCCCGCGTCCCTTGTGCTCCTTCCCCCTCGCACCTGGGATACAGCTGTGTCCCCCAGGCTGGCCGCGCTCATGTAGAATGACAACGGTCACGTGAGGGTTTCGTGTACTCGGACGTCTCTTATGGGCTCTCTTGAGGTCACTCCTTTGAATTCAGGGTTGCAATGATCTCAGCCAGAAACGCACGTCCTTGTGCCCCACAGAGGCTGGCAAGCTCAGAAGGGTTCCTACAACCGCCAGAGGCTTCAGAGACACCGCGTGCTCACCAGTGAACGCACGGGCACGGTAAGGCTGCTCAGCCTCACTGTGCACGTGCCAGAGCGTCAGCCTGTTCGCATGCAGCAGGCGTGTCCTGGTTGCCTTACGCCATAGGAGCACGAGCTGGGAAAGACTTCAAAAGCCTTCTCTGTCCGAGGCAAAACTGACTACATATGCCGTTCTTGGTAGATGCTTGTCTTCACTGGTTTTGACAGACCCCCGATGACAGAGACCCTGTGCCCTGCCAAGGCAAGCTACTCCAGGAATTTGCTGTCTCCAGCTAGTTTTTCCTAACTGAATCTTCCATGCTGAAAACACATTTCATTACTTCTTGTCCAATCTACCATGGACACAGACTGCGGACTTTTCCTTTCCACCTTGCAGCAGCACACCTTTAGTGTACATATAAACTGTCACCACGTTTCCTCTCCATCTCTTCCTCTTCAGGCTAAAGAATTACAGTTTATTCAATCTCTCCTTATAGGTCCTTTTCCCTAAGAGCTCTGATTACATCCAGAAATCTTAGGCACGCGTACAATTCCTCAGCTCCAACAGTGCTGCTGGGTGGAAGAGGGGGGTGTCACATGGGAAACCTAGACATCCAAAAGCCTTAGCCAGACTTCCCAAGCAGGGAGCTGTAGCCTATGTGGGGTTGCAGAAAAGCACAGCCACAGGGAGGGGTCAAAAATGACAGTTGACTTAACAGCGACATCTGTAATATTGCAAGTGTAACAGAGAGGGGACTACTAAAACATGTTAGAAAATCCTCCCCAGTTTGAGGGCCGTTATTTAAAACACATGATACAAAAACTCAGTTGTTCGGAGAGGTACTACAACTTCAGAGAGCAACCATTGACTCAGATAACAACATAGCTTAAATCCTATCTCAAGTTTTGAATGAAAAATGTACTGGACACAAACACGTGACAGAAAGGCTGGTTTAGACTTTTTTTTTCCCCTCCCTTTAAATCTGCCTTTATTATAGAGTCTTACTTTTGGAGAACAAGTTTATGCACGCAATAGATCTGATAACTCCCTGCTGAAGCCAAATCACAGCAAGTCTTAATCAGCTCAAAAGCAAAACCAACATGGTTTCAAAGTGCTGTACCATGGAGACAGATAAATCACTTTAATTCTCTGATTGTACTTATTGTATTAAAGCCTCAGTGGCAAATAAGAGGCCAAAGCAAAACAATCTCTTATTATCAAGCTTACAGACAATACATCACCATGATCATCATACAGACTAGCTCAAAATCTAGTAAAGCTCTTCCAAAATGTTTAGCGAGGTAGAGCACCAGTCTGAAATCTCTTTGAACTATGCGTTTTAGCCTGTAGTCAGAAAGCGTGTTTGCCTGTTTGTGGCAGTCTGCTGGCTACTTCTGTGGCACTTGTGAAAGGCAGCTGAGAAATACATGCGAAACACAAACATCAGTGAAGTGAAGAAAAGGGCTTTGCACCTTTTCTGGAAAATTTCAGGGAACCACAGATTGAACCAAGGTGAAAATCCTCTCTCTTAAAGAGTCTGGATTTTTAGGAGGTTCAATCTTAGACACCCTTTAAGAGGTTTCAAGTGAAATGCGTAAATATTGTTATTATTAAAACACTTCCAAGTCAGTAGTCCCTTTGAAATAGAAAAGCCACAATACTCCAAACAAATAACACCAGGTATATACAAAACGCCCCTCTAAAGAACCATCAGTCGTTTCCCTCCCCCAGTTAACTGGCTGGTATTTGTAAAGCAAAGGGAAAATTACCGGGCAATGCTGTGATACCACTTGGGCCTTGCACCCGGGTTTATCCGAGTGACAACCGGTGCTCGTGGTACTTACAGTACTCCAGCAGATGAGATGGTTCGTTTCAGGATCTTCCACCAGCGTCCAGAGTTTGGTTAGGAAGGCTGGCACATTGCTGGAGTATCCATCCATCACCAGAGAACTGGGTGAATCTTGCATAGTTTTTTCAGTGTTCCAGCTACACAAACCCCATTGCTCCCAGCGCGTCTGCCTCCCTGCACGCGTGTGTGTCAGGCAGAGAACGAACGACTGAATTTTATCCTGGGCCAGTGGAAAGTAGGCTCCCCGGGAGTCACATCAGCAGTGCTGCTCACACTCTTAAAAACTCAGCACAATGCGATGGCATCACCAGCCCCAGAGAACAATACACAGAATGAAAACGCACTGCAGCCGATCTCGCAGCGCTGTGAATAAAGATGCCGCGTCATGCAAAGGGAACACGTGCTGCACACCTTACCCTCGAAGGTTAGCACGTCACTGGGACAGACCCACCTGCTGACAGGTCTGCGAGACACCCAGGAGCAGCAGCACCAGCTTTGTGAAGGCACTTGAATGGTTATTTCAGAACTCGCTTGTCCTAAAAGTTGGTTGGCACAGAGGGACAAGGCCTAGCTGGGCCTCAGGGCTAAGACAAAAGGTTTGGGGCCAGGACAAATGGTTTGGCTCTTAGGTGAGAGGAGAGGGCGATGACAATAGCTGCACACAGAACCCAGATGTCAGTATGCTTTTATTATCATTATTCAATTGCTCTAAATCGGTGCTCGCAATGTAGCTTGATGCCAGGATTATTTCAACTCAGAAAGTGCTCTGCGAATAACATTCACCAACATTTTTGGCACAACGGACCCACACACACATATGCTAATTCAGATGCAAGATACCTTTGCAGTTTGCCGTTGAGTGTAAGGTCATATGCAAAAACTGTCAGCACACTTGATTTTCCTAAGAAACGCTAACAATGTACTGAAAACAAAGGTCTTTGCAAAAGGCATTCAAATTACAGCCTGGAAACCCGCTTTCCTGAGCAGGCCACATATCCTTCACAACGGCCTTATCAGTTTTCTTCCCGAAGGGATTTTTCTCCTGCCTGTATTTTATAACATAAGTCAGGTCCTGTTTAGACCCTTCCACGCTGGAAGTTTCCTGACAACTGGGTAACAGGTGAGCTCACCAGCGCAGAAATGGCAAAAGATGAGTTATCAAGGCGAGCGTGAATTTTGCATCAGATGACCACAATTTTTTGCTCAGCTCATTTAACCTGCGTGGCTAAGCACCACGCTGGATAAAGAACAGCTGCAGCATTGAAGCTGCCACTTCCTTAACTATCTACACAAGTAGTTGCTGGGATCATGATGCAGCGTGCTTATCGCTGGGGTTCTCTTACAGTGCAAAAGCAAAATTAAATTTTGCTGAGGTCCTCAGTAAAAATGCACAAAGAATAAACTTGACATTCCTGGTGCTGCTAAATAAAGAAGCAAAGGAGAAAAAAGGCCTGCCCTCTGTACCCTCCATACCATATTCATACAAGAAAAAAGGCAATTTCCCCTCCATACCATATTTATACAAGAAAAAAGGCAATTTCTCTGTATAACCCTTTGTCTATCACATTTGCATACAAAAGCTTAGTCTCCCGAACAAGCGGTCATCACATTTAGCAGCCAAGGCTGGTAAGACAGCGCGCTCTAAGTGAGCAGCAGAAGGAATATTGCAGCATTTTCCTTATATCTCTAAATCTTCCTTCGCTGCACTGGAGCAGATCCACACGATTTCCCAGGGAGTCAGGAGGGACCAGTCACTGAACTATTACTGGTTTCCAGGGGTGCCGTTCCTTGATGATCTTGAGCGTGTATTGTTTCAGATGGGGGCAGTGTGTGAGGAACGCTTCTACCACCTCCTGGCTGACCACACAGTAGCAGTGGATCTCCAGTAGATTTCTGCACTTCCTAGCCAGATCTATTAGTGAGGCATTTAAGTCCTCTGAAGACGTGGTTTGTAGTGTCAGCTTCTTTAAAGTGCTGCTGTAGCTCTGGGTGACAAACCTAATCTGATTCACCATGTAATTACAGGTATTAAGTTGCAGCGTGCTCACAGGTATATTCAGCTTTAGGATCTGTGGTATTTTCGAGGCAGGGACCGTATGATCAAACTCTAGGTCTACACAGAGCTGAGGATGCTTTTGACTTACAGCAGCCCAGAGCTCTTCTGAGATGACTGGGATATATTTGTCCAGGCGCTCACAGAAAATGTCTAAATTGATGAAAGGTGCTCTTTCTGGCTTGATCAGTTCCAGAAAAACATCGTCAGACAAGCTGGCATAGTAAACCCCCAGGGTCGAGAGTTTGGGACACGCTCTGAGAACTTTCCTAATGGTATCTGGCACCACATTGCATACCAGGGTGTGGTTGTTGATGAACAAACTGCGTAAGTTTGGGTTGGTGGTGGCTAAGAGCTCAACAAGTTCATCATCAAGAGTAAAAGGCATTTTTCGAAAATCGATGTGCTGAAGATCTATCTGGTTCTTAGTGTCGCATATATGGCGTATGCTCTGCAGGATGTCATGGCCAGAGTAGAAGTAAGGGTTCTCCCCATGGCACACAATGCACAGTTGCTGCAGTTTGTGGTTGTGTTTTGCCAGCACATCTAAGATGCGTTTGACATTCTTCCGGTTGATCTCCTTGGACTGGTCAAACACAATCTTCAGCTGTTTGATTTGGCTGAGGAACTGCAGGAGGCTCTGCAGCATGCCTTCCTCATCCTCTAAATCACAGCTGGAAGGGTAATACAAACCATTAGTCGCTATGGAAGCTCAGCTGAGCACGCCCAGAGTAGATACTCTCCTTTACTAGTGTTTCTGTGAACATCTACAGCTCCCTCAGAGGTTTCTTCTCATTTAAAGCCTGACAAGTCAGTCTAAGGTAGTGGCTGAACGTTGGGGAAGGAGTTAGGAGGTGAGACGAGTTAGCCTCCAGAAAGACCTATCAAAGTGACCTGTGCAGGATGCTGGACCAGTTACCTCCATATCTCTGAGCCTCTTTCTCCTCCCACCCTCTCTGCCTCATCTATTTCAGCAGTGAACTTTTGACCATGAGGATCGTCCCTCGCTACATGACTGGATGGGAATGATTGCAGTGATAAGGTGTATGATCTGCGTAAGAAGCAGGTGTCATGATGAGGATGACTATACAGTAACTCCTCGTCTCTTGCCATTTTTAAGTCGCACCTTACAGCAACGTAGCCAGAAAAGTAATACCTTTCATGAAACCCAAACCATCGTTAGCAATTAAAAATACTCAGCATATAACACAATTTTCTCTATTACATAAACAGGTACTAGTCACGTAAGATAGTATCATCACACACAGAAGTCACAATTAGAGTCAATAACACCACAGCAGAGTGGTGTAAAGGTTTGATATGCAGTGAAAACATAATGGTCTGGTTTTGTCTGCAGAGCTGTTTGGACGTTAGAAACCCACTCGTCTTACCTGATCTCTGTGAAATGCCAAACAGAGCTAGAAGAAACAGCTGTAGCCCACTGTCTGCACACCTGGAAGACTGTATATCTATCTCGAAGAGAAAGATAATAGAAAATCTGGATGAGGATTTCTTCTGGGATGTAGTTCCACAGTCCTGGAGCTGAAGCAGGCATTCTGCTAGTTCAGTCAGATTTAAAAATGTTGAGAGCAACTTCCAAAACTGCAATTAATTCTGAAACATCCCTGTTCCAAAAAGAGAGAGAGAGAGAGAGAGAGAGAGAGAGAGAGAGAGAGGCATTAGGGTTTATTTACCAAATCAAACCAATGTGACTGAATCACAGAGGAGGTCCAAATTTTTTAAACACTGAAATGTCACCAAATTTTTAAATTCAACACAAAAATGGGGAAAATCTACTGGTCAATTATTTTGCACATTTTTCCAGTCAAGCCTATGAGGCTGGAAGATACTTTTCAAGAATTACACATGTCACAGATCAAAGAGCTTTGGAAAAGAGCTTTGGAAGAAATTTTCTTTTCTGCAGCCCACTTGTGCTACTCTGAGTAATAAAAATGCAGGGAGATTTTCTAGTAGCGCTGCCCTGGTATTCAAAGCTGGAGGTAAATTTCTCAAACTGTGGAAAGAAGCCTCTTTGCAAAATGGCACCTCTGCACAGAAAACTTAGTGCCATACATTCAAGTTTTAGTGACACTGAAACCAAAAGCTTATGGTAGAAACTGGCAGCTAAATGACAGTAGTCCTTGCCTGAAATAAGATGTGGCAGTTTGAAAAAAATGTTTTATTTCTGTGACTCCACTATTTACCAATTACATTTATACATGTCAAACTTGGAGACTGAAAAGCATATTTTGATTCACCTTTGGTGTGAGTTATAACGCAAAGGAATAAACGCATGGGAAGAAGTCTGAGGTTTATAGCATCAAAACATTATGCAACTTTTTCGTTAATCTCTTTCATCTAAAATGTGTTGTATCCACCTTCTAGATTTCTGTACAAATGAAAATACCAACATTGCATATTTTCTCAATCTTTCCATAACCAAATGGAGGATTTCAAAATGAGAGACCTTTAAAATCTGCAAACATTTCCTTTCCTAGACTAGCGCCGTAGAAAGAGCCAGCTCTCACAATCCTACTACGAATGTCGTAGTATGCCCTTTTGCTCTTGAAGCCCCAGGTCCTGGAGTCATAGTGTTATCTCAGCGTCTCACCTCTCATTTAAACAAAAACCTACGCTTCTAGATACCCTCGGAGTAGGGGAAAATTTGCGAAACATGAAGCAAGTACGGATTAGAGATGCAAAAAGCAAGAAGCAGAAAGGAATACAACTGCGTATTTTTCTAAAATATGCTGTTTTGCAGTGTGACTTGTGATTTTGAATGGAAGGTGGCCGCAGCATAGCAGCTATATTATCTCATATAGCTAAATTATCTCATCTGCTATCATATCTGCCGATATCTCACCCACCGCTGAGCTTGAACTGCTAAGTAATATGGTCCTGCTTCCTTCTTGGGAACTTCCCTTTTTTTTTTTTTTTTGGTCATTTTTCTCTGCCAATCACTTTGATAGCCTGGACCCTGCTCTTCTAATTTTAGCTGCTTTTAATACAGTCTCTAATATATATTTGCCAAAATACCCCAAACCAAATCTCACATGTCCAACTCCCATCATTTTCCTTATGATCTCTTTCCTTAAAGCTCCTAGCCCTAGTGATTGCTCAGAAAAGCTTAAAAACGTGGCCTGATGGCAGCAGGGAAGGCAGAAAGGAAAAATAACTAGTGTTATTTTAAGCTATTGCACGGCTTTGAGTCAGTGAGGGATACGGCTCGTGGGCTGTGAATGCTACAGGTTGGCTTGGGTCTCTGCCCTATTAAGGACAGCTGGGTTTAAACAGGCTCACGTGAGCTGTCGAGGATCTCCTCACGTTATTAATCTCATGACTACACTGAGCTTTGTCAGCTCTCTGCGCGACGGGGCCCAAGGAAGCAAACGCTGCTGCCAAAGGGCGGCGCAGGCTCAGAGCGAGCGGCCAGGCAGCCCAAACAGGAAAAGGCCCTGCCGGGTGAGCAGGATCGGGCAGCCTGCGCCAGGCCGTGTCCCTGCCCGGGCGGAAGCCCCCCGTGGCGGCCCCCCGCCCGCCGCCCCGGCCC